TTATGAATTCCGAGAAATGAGGCATAACGGTGTGGTATAGAATTACACGGTATCCACAAGTATTCTGCAGGTCGATGAGTGATCAATCGAATAATTACAACCACCCAAATTTTGGGGTGTCACAACATGTAAGTCTATCATCAATATTATCATTAGGAGAGAATACAAACACAAAATGTCCTTGTTTTATTAAGTAACATGTCTACATAACCCAAACAAAATAGGATTTACTGCTCATACATACTGAGCGTCTACTGATAAAGTACATGTATACATATATACTTATCTACATAAAATGGTGCACAAAAATGTCCTATGGAGGTCACGGCACAATCAGGTGCACAAAAGTCTCCAGAGTCTGCTAGCAACACTCTAATCTCTCACCTGAAAAAAAACCATAATCTAACGGAATGAGCTTAAAGCCCGGTGAATGGTAAGACACACATAGTAATATTCATTTTGAAAACAGGGAATATAAAATAATTGATAACAAGAAAATATGTATGGCATACAATAGATAATCATAAATAAAACCAATAACTAAAAGCGTTGTGATAATAACGAATTATATCATCTCCTCATAATGGTAAAGACTTGTACGATATCTGGGAGCCATACCAAATGTCAGAAGATCTTAAGGTTGGATCTAACACCGTACTTAGGGTCACCACGGATTAGTTCTTGGGAATTGTTCTCTAAGACAATCCGGTGAAGGTCACCAGGATGCACCAGACACTGTTCCTTCAACCGTTGAGCACTAGGGTCACCTCAGCCTCCTCGGATCTGTTCCCTAGTGGCCAGAGTCACCCGCACACAGAGGAATAATTTTCCTGGACTTTTAGTTTTGGTCTCATTCACCATTACAAAGTCTCACCATATAAACAAGTGATTGAGTCACAATACTTCACAAAAAAATTTATCAAGGTAAGAAGAATCGTATGCCACAAGTATTTAGATACTTAGTAAAATATTTTGTAAAAGTAGTAATGAACAAACATGATGTATTGTTTTAAAAATGTTTAGGAATACAGGGAGTTTTCGAAAATACGTAGTATGTCAACCCACTCATCTCAAGTCCAAATGGTATGTTGCTTGTTCTCCGAAGTAGAGTTAGATGTTATCGATGACTTTCCTCTTTCTCATACAATTTCCTTTTTCTTTTGATGAGGTACTCTTCCTTCCTTCTTCTCTCTTTTACTCTCTATTCTTTCTTGAAAGTGGAAGACTACTTGTGTATTTGTATCCTTAATCCAATTCTCAAATGCCCTATTTATAGGCATCCTAGGATTATTTTAGAGAAGATTTCCTAGAATATTCTACCATCTCCCCTCTCCTTGATCCTTATAGGTTTTAAGCTTATTTTGCACATGGCAATTCCATAAATATCTAGACTCATCTATGATATTCTAAAGTATTTTCCAACCTTCTAAGTCCTTCTAGAATTTCCGGAACATTTTAAATCCTTCTAGAACCTTCTAGTATTTCCTAGAACTTTCTAAAATATTATAGACTTCTCTAGATTGTTCTAAAACTTTCCGGATTCTTCTAAATCCTTCAAAACTCTCTTTTAAGAATTATTATTATTTATTTATATTGAAGAAACTTTTCAACATAATAGTTCAAGTATAAGAATATTTACAATATAAAACTCTATGTTATAACTACTACACACTCAAGGATGGGTCAGGATATTACATTTAACATCAACTTCCTAAGAGAGAGAAATGAGAGATATCTTACAGTGTTACCAGCAGAACTCTCCACCAGCAAAATGCAAGAGAAACCAACGATTAGGTTGCTTGAAGCTCTAACATACGCACACAAGCCCAACATTGTTACTTGCTTCATTGTGGACTGAAGAGAGCAATGCAGAATGCAGGTGATGACAGACAGCAATGCCAAATGCAGGTGATGACGGACAGTAAAAAAAAAAAGGTAATGCTATACTTCCCAAATTTTCTTGAAAAATTTATGTAATTATTAATTTACAGAAATATCCCTAAACATTTTATAGGATAAATTTTGTCCACGCCTTTTATAAATAGGCATAACCTCAATGACACCCCGTGTAAATAGATCTATCTTTAATAATACTCCCTCCCAATTCTGAAATTTCAATGCACTCCCTTTTAATTCTATTATATTAACCATTAGGTTCATCAATTTAATATTTAATTTTATCTAATTAATGTCCTTTATTGAATTTAAACTAAATTAACATTCCATCTCATCAAATCGACACAAATTGATATTTAATTTTATCAAATTAACATTTAGTTATACTAATTTAATATTTTATTTCATCAAATTAATGTTATTTCTTTAATTTAGCATTAAATTATTATTTAATTTCATCATTCAACACCAAATTAACATTTAATTTTATTAAATTAAAGTTTAATATATTAAATAGAATATTCTGGATAAGGACTTAGTTTCTGCCCATTTTATGAAATAGTCAACCATCACAAATTTGCATTGGCCCCGACTCATGGATAGGGGGCCTAAGATGTCAATCCCCCACTTAAAGAAAGGTCAAGGGGCTCTTGATGGTAGTGAGTTCTTCGGGTGGTTGTCTTGGCACTGTTGCGAAATGTTGGCATTTGTCTCATTTTTTTACAATTTCACATGCATCTTTAATTATGTCAGGCCAGTAGTAGCCTGTCTCACCGCCTTTGTGAGCTAATGCACACCATCTGGAGTGATTTTCACATATTCCCTTGTGGATTGTTCTCATAGCATAATTGGACACCTCCAAGAAGAAGCAGTAGAGTAGTGGTAGTGAGTAGCTTCTCTTGTAAGAGGTGTCACATCATATTACGTACCTAGACGTTCTCAATCTCAACTTCTTGGCTTCTACTAGATTTTCTCGGAGCTTAAGATCACCTAAATCACTATGTATTAAGCTTAATAGTTCAGTTTCTCTTTCAACCATTCTAGAAGACATTTTAGTGATTTTAGATTTAACACAAACTTCACATTTATCAACATTCGAATTCAAAAAATTTGAAATAAGACCAAATTTTCTCATTTTCTTGATATAAGTAAAATTCACATGACCTAATCGACCATGCCACATATCAAGAGAGTCGAGCACATAGCAAAAGAATTAGACTTATTCTCATTCATAACTTCAACAACTTTTAGTGCATAAAGCCCCTTATTACAGTAACATTTCCCAACAAATGTCTCATTCTTGGTCATAATGATCTTATCACTCTCAATTGTTACTTTCACTCCCACCTTATTCAAGACAGATATCGACACCAAGTTTCAATGAATATTAGACACGTGAGATACTTCAGACAATGAAATGATCTTTCTAGAAGTCAACTTTAGTAACACCTTTCCTATACCCATAATAGACGAAGGTCTAGAGTCACCCATAAACACTTGTCCATCTCCATCCCCCACAAGTGTGTAGAAGGTAAAAAACACTTTTATTGCCACAGATATGCTTGTTAACCCCAGAGTCTATCAACCAATCTTTTGTAGTAGCAGTCACGCTAACCTCGGATATGACTACAACAATAATATCATCTGCCTCAACCAAATTGACATTTGGCTTGGTAGGTTTGTCGTTCCGCTTTCAGTGTCGGTATTCTTGAGCATAATGTCCTACCTTTCCACAAACAAAACAATTACCTTTATTCTTAAAACTAAAACCTTGAGCCTTATGGAGATTTTTTTTATTGTGATTCTTTTTTTTATGCTTATATTGAGGCTTATTCATAGTCTCCACAACATTGGTCTAAGAGACATTTTCTTTGGTCTTTTCAATTTTATCCTTCGAATAATTTTTCTCCTCAATCCTAATATGGATAATCACACCTTCCAAAGACACATCCTTCCTTTTATGTTTAAGATTGTTCTTGTAAACTTTCCAAGAATCGGATAATTTTTCAATCAAAACACCAGATACGAATGACTCATGCAAAATAATTTTTTTCATTCCTGAACTCATTAATAATCAAATGATATTCATGAATTTGAGAAGACACGTCATTCTCTTCAACCATCTTATAATCTAAGAAATTTTCTATTGTATATTTTTTAATCCCCACATCTTCAACAATATACTTTTTCACCAAACTATTCCAAATCTCTGTAACATGCTTATAATTATAATAAACATCAAACAATTCATTTGATAGAACATTCAAGATAATATTCTGACAAACTTTATCAGTCTTTTTCTCATTTTTCTTTTTCTCTTACATAATTTTATGTATCTTCTTCGGGTTTTAAATCAATCAAAACAAATGCAACACTTGCTATATGAAATAACATCATAATTCTCTGTTGCCATCTCTTAAAATTAGACCCATTAAAAGACTCAATTTTTATCACATCAGGAATGGTCTTGTTTATAATTGTAACATCCATATTAATCTATTCTTAAGATTGTTGTGAAAATATCAAGTTAAAAATGTTACACAAAAAATAAACAAGACAAGAAAATTTATTGATAGAGACGTGTAATCACCATCCTTAAGAATAGATTTTCGTCCTTCTGAATACGAAACCCGATGCAATGGGTTATGACGTTCTACCCTTCAGAATTCAACTATCACTTTTTCACAAGCGTGCGTTCACAAATGTAGAGGTATCTCGAACAACTCTTAATCGTTCCCAAATCAAATCAAATCAAAGATATGGCAAAAGCTAGTATTCTTGAATTGATAGCAAAGATATTAAATTGAATAAATTCTTTCCAAAATCCACCGTTCAAACTATAGTTCGTCATTTGCATACTTTCCTCTGTTTTTCTTTTCGACTCAATTTTTTCGTTCATACCAAAGTACAATCTAGCATCACTTTAAATAGCAACACAGACGAAAAGATGCAACTATTGGATGCAAAGATTTGGGTGCAACTGACCAAATTGGCCATCACCTGGGAAGCATTAAAATAATGTAATTACTTGAAATCCTTTGAAGTCTTGCAACGGATAGAACTCATCCAATCGGCGGCACTCTAAAGAAGAGATAAACGGTATTACCCGGTTGAAATTTTATATTTCAAATTTGTGTAACTAACTCAAACATATATACAAATATATTTCGTACAACTAAATATTTTGAATTTTGAAATAACCATTATAATGTGCAATAACAATTTGGGTGGTGGCATATGCATTGCTTCCAAGCTACATTGCGTCGCAATTTTGGCGGTGGCCTTCAAAGGAGTACGTCTTGCAACAATTCAATCAAACGGTTGCTGGCGTTTTCTGCAAATGTCATGTACCCAAACATTTGGCCCAACTGCAAAGCCGGTTGACTTGACTTGGTAGGGAATATATCGAAAGAGCAGATGAATCTGTCAATATATCTTCAGCACTTGACCATATGTACACCCCTCGCTCTTGCTTGCTCCCTGGGACAGTGTTGTCTAGTACAAATGCTATCAAGAGAGTCATAACCATGTTCAATGACAAAAGCCCGTTTATCGCAAAATCAAGCTGAAAACCATCAAAACAGGAAAAATAGATGTCAGGTCTTCACTATTGTAGAAAATGGGAAACCATGAAAGTATGAATGTTCATAATCAAATAATAGACAAAGAGCTAGCAACAATTTAATAAACTCATCCCTCTTCTAATTACATTTACAAAGACTCCTGTCTTATTTAGATTATCATAATAAGAAAATTGTAGAACATTAATAAGAAGGTTAATATCTTGTAAGAACCGGATTGAACCCAAAATATATTAACTACGTGATTGACTTACTTGTTTATCACCAGTGTGGGTTGGTCCACTCGATGCTGCTGCATAAGGTACCAAATAACTAGGCAGAATCAAGCTGGACTCGGATTGATGCTGCTGAACATATGCAGGTATCGATAAACCAAGGAAGAGTGAAACGCCAACTATTGTTATGTTTCTAAAACTTGCTGTTTGGCTATACTGCAATGTTCGGAAACCTAATGCAACAATTAGAGCCCACACAAAGCAGAGTATGGCGGCAGCCAAAGCCTGTGGTATAGAAGCAAGAATGGCACCCACTTTCCCTATCAAACAAACATGAAGATATTAGTAATTTACCTATGGACAAGAGTACAATTGCCTGCTAGATTTTCCAAGGCTATAGTGACCTTTGGTCCAATGGTACTCCTTACCTTGTCAAGATTTTGCCTTCTTGAGGTCAAAGGTTTAAGTCCCCCTCCCCTTCCCCAAAAAAAAAAAAAAAGTCACATGAAGTGAACATGACGTATGTGATGTATCCAATCAGGCTGTCTGATTGATCTGAGATGAATCGCATGCATGCCATGTCTGTATATAAAATGGTACCAAGTTATATGTTAATGCATTTCAATCAAAAAATGCATGTAATTTTGAGATGAATCACACATGTGTCATGTATGTTTATAGGTACGCAATTAATTGTACGTATTCATGTACTCAGCTATATATCAATGCATTCCATTCCAATAATGTGTATAATTTTCAGATACTCGGGATGGATTTCTAACTATACTCCACACCAGGGACATGAAAATAAAACCTGTATCCAGTATACAGTAGGCCAGATCAAATTTAGCATTACTGAAATCGAATCTTTAAGAACTGATGCATGTGCACTTTATTCATGTAAACACATTTTTAGTACATGATTCTGTAAGTGTGGGAACATTAGGTCTCAATCCTAGTTTTCTCTGCAAAATATGTCCAAAGTTTATACCTATGAAGGAAGAGAGGATCAGGAAAACTGCTCCGAGTTCCACAGCCCTTCGACTTGCTACCTTCGTTATTTCAATAGTGTGTACATTTTCTGTCAAGGTTGTTGACCCAGTCCCTGAGCCCCAAAGTCCAGCCAGTAAACTAGAAAAACCTTCCAAACCAATTCCTCTACTGACAATACCAGGGGTAGGAGGCTTTGCATTGATTTTCATGGATGCAGAGTGATATGTCCCAACCTGGTAAGGTGCAGATATAACATCAAGTTTAGATCTAACAATCATTCTACTGTAAGTGCTCTAATGCACAAACATAACTATCATTTTAGTATCCTGAAAAACATCTCCTTCAGTTTAAGTGTATTGTGTGCTAACAACATTGCAATTATTAGTCTCCAGAAAACGCATTAATCCGGCTCTGTTAGCAAAATGCTTCCATCGTTTCACAGGAAGTGAGAAGGGACAATATTTCCATCTAACATAAGGATAATGGCTTTGCCCCCCCATACCACAATGAGTCACTTTGTACAAGATAATAGGCTGGCTAATTGCAAATATTCGTAAAGATGAGATTGGCGGATGTACAACTTTGAATCGGAATTTGTTTCCGTGATGGAGCATTTTCTTCTATTGTTTTGTTTGGATTATATATGACTAACCGAGTCCACTGATGCGACCAATGAAACAATGATCATCATGATTGAAGTCCTAAGTCGGAATATAGGAATACCCCACTGCAAAGGGTAGGGAATCCTGACCCATGCGGCGGTTCTTAAAGCATTGGAAACATCAGTCCTGCAATGCTTCATGGTATATGCATGCTGTCTACAAGCATCAGTCAAGATGTTGGAACTGGGTATGTCAGAACTGCAGCCTTTGTAATTATATGCTCCACCAGCTGTCAAGAAGAATGCATACACCCATATAATTACAACACTCATGGGGACCTGAAATGGTTGATAGTGTAGGCAAACACAATTAGAGGACATATATTCAACAAAAAAAATTGTATGTATATGCATTCATAAACTATAGAAACAACTTATAGAAATAGACTCAATTGTTGGGTGTTTCATTCTCTTTTCCCACTGATATTTCTTCTTCTGGGGACATTAGAAAAGTGAGTCAGGTCATTCAAATGGTTTGCTGCCACATTCCAATGTGAGTTTGTACAAGCAAAATAAGTCATGTTTAAAGGATTTTATAGTATGCTCCTTTTACTATGTAGCCTCCTTGCCAGATTTGACCAATTCTAGCACTTCTAGTCCACGACGAATGTTTTGGACTTGATCTCAGGAGTTGCCGTCCAAATGAGAGGGAATTACATCATGAAGACCTTTAATTTTTCCAAAAACCAGAGTACTACAAGTATTACCAGGTATCTATCGTGGCTGGTCTATCACCACTGTTACCCCTGGTTGGGGGGGGGGGGGGGGGGGCGGTTTTAAATGTTGGTTAAGCCCTAAAGAATGGACGCGCCACACCACTATGTATTAAGTTGATACTGATGAAAGACAATGCCTGGATCTAGAAATAAGAATTAGATTAATATCCAGCCAAAAGCCAGGAAATATAGAAAAAAAAAATTATGCTATGTATTGAATATCCCAAAATCACCAGTGCAAACTTAATTTTTTGGATATACAAAAGATAGTTGGTATCAAGGGCAGTTCTCTTGAAGACTTAGGAATTTCGGCTTCACACCATTTCATTTACTATTGCAGAATAGGTTAAGAGTCTCTGGGTCTTTTAAGCAGGGTGTGGTGGCAGTGCAGGATAAGCTATGACGAAATAAAAGAAGAGTCTACTTTCAAAAGAACCATCAAACTGAAAGGTCAAATATACATACCGCCTGAATTTGAAAAACTCGATGTCCAAATACAGATATCCCTCGGAGGTACTAGAAAAATGCACAAAATTGACAGTTATTCTGACATGTAATGGCACAAATAAAGAAAATCAAGCCTCAAGCACCTAAAAGAGCTTTGAAACATCTGAAGTAGAACAACCTAAACTCTAAACCCCACAGGAACATAGGCCTGTCAATTTTCGACACAACACATTAATACGATATGAACCGAACACGAAATTAATGGGTTGAACACAAAATTAAACGAATTAATGGGTTAAAACGGATCAACACGCTTAAACACGAAAAAATCATGTCGAGTTCATGTTAATATCAGGTCAACCTGATTTTGATCTGATTAACCCGTATATTTTAAACGAGTTGACATGATTCAGACACGAATTGGACCTAACCCATTGTACATCCGTTTAACTCGTTTATGACAGTATAATTTGCCTATTATGTATGACTGATGTAATTTTAACATTATTACTTATTAATTCTTTTTTCTACTATGATAATTGACAGTATAATTCTTAACATTATTATGACAGTATACTAGTACAGTTCTTACTTTAATTTTTGAGTTAAAACTTGAATGCATTTTAGTTAATTTCATTGATGAGATATTATATGCTATTTGAAAAAAAATTATTTTAAATTTTGGATGAATAATTGAATGATGTATTTAATGGCAATGAACTGGTGTGAAAACAAGTTATGTGTATTTAACAAGTCTGTGTTATGTGTGCTAAACAAGTTAAACAGATCATATTATATGTGTTAACCTGAAAACGACCTGTTTATTAAACGTGTCAAACAGGTCGGGTTTGAGTAACTCGTTTAATGGTCAGGTCAGGTAGTGCTTACACATCTCGACACGATTATTAAACATGTCAGGTTTGAGTTTTAAGATTTTCGACACAAACTCGAAATCAAACCGACATGAAATGATCCAACCCGACACGTTTAACACCCCTATAGGAACATAATTACCTTATAAACATGGCAACTTAGAATTAGACTAACTGAACTGCATACACATGATCTGCTAGAAAGTCGGCTTACCAATGTGAAAATAAGAACCAATAGTATCAGTGGAAGACTAATTTCCACACAACTACCAGCTTGTGGAAAACCATAGCTGAAAAATGCTAAGCCCACTGCAGTGATGGTAGGGGCAACCACAATTGGGTTTATCAACCTGCACCACATTATTATATTTTCAAGTTAGATCATTTCATGTCCTGTGTCCTTCAGACTTCATCTAAGCAAGACAACATTCAATTGCTTGCGCAGAAAGCTTTGGTGCAAATGAATTGTTCGATTCCAGAACAAGACCATGAGAATGAAAAAGTAAACAGTTTAAGATGCCTATGGTGATTTTTTTAAAATTCATATTGCTAAAAGCCTCTATTGTTAAATAATGAGTGGACACCAGGAGAATTCAATAATTTGTAAAAGTCATATATCGTCGGGTAAATAGCAGGATTAATTTTTGTCAGGAAATACATCAACATAGGGTGAAAGAAAAGATGTGAAAAGGAACCCTTCAAATTACCTTAGGAGAAGGGACATTAAACCACTGAAACCCAAGATGCTTTGGAAAAGTGAACCAACAATTATGGCACCTTGCAATTCCCTCATTATATGCCTAAATTTCTGCATATTAGCAATACGTGTCAATAACCTCTAGAAACCAAATAACAGAGAGAGTGCGGTAAAATTATCTCCTACGCCCATCATGACCCTGATGTTATTCAAGACGCACATTATGAAGAACACTCAGACAAACAAAACAAATGATAAATTCATATTAGTTGTGAACTTCATTAAGTAAAAAAATCCTGGATACATTTTGTTTCAGGGGGGCATTCTAATATTGTTACGCTTTTCCGGCAGACGTTCCAAACTTTAGAATGTTCAACATACTTGATACAAAACTGAGAGTGCCACTCATCAAAAAGAAGCTAAGAGTACCAACTGCTCCTAAAATATAACAGAACTTTATTAACTAATCATACATGCTCAGTAAGATTTCGAAGCTCGCGAGAATTCATTATGACCAAGGCCGGTGCCAAATACACAAATGAGCTCCCTTGAACCAATGGAAGCCGGGTACCAAAATACGAGTGCAGTACAGTGGTAATGCCAGAAACTAATAGCATTGTGGAAATTACTGTGGCAGTATCCTTCTGTCATCAAGAAGAAAAGAAAAGTAATGTTAATATAATGAACTATGTAAATCTTGTACCTTATCCCATTGTAACTGTATAATTCACAAGATAGATGCTTACATCAGTTCCACCCATGGCAGGTACCATGATCAAGGGAATGAAAATAAGCGAACCAGCCAATGATAAATAATGCTGCAGACCATAATATATAAGTGGTACTGCAATTGTAAAACCAAAAGAACAAGATCAATTAAACTACTGATAGATCACGAGTAAATATTTGCTACCAATTAAAAAAAAAACACCAAAATTACTTAAGAATATTAAATAAAGAATTTCTGAGTAATAATTAAGGAAGAGGTGTCCATCAATTCGTTTAGAGCCAACAATTGTTGTTCTGTGCAGCAAGTAAGATTGAGTTCTATCCTTGTAAAGAGCTTATAAAACTTTCCTTGCCATTTTCACCTGTTCTGCAGCTGAATTTTGATCGGGAGTCTATGTTCAATTTAAACTTGGAAAGACCAGAGTTCAAGTTTTGCTTCGGCCATACTGAAATGTAATTCTATGACAGGCCAAGCCTCTAAGGTCGTGCTAATAGAAATCAAGTCAGTTAAGAGTGGGGTTTTCTATATTCTACAGTCTTGGGAGCTACAGCAATAATGCAAGGCTAGTTTCTTAACAGCAGGGTTGCAGGAATAGGCAATTCCTTTTGTTGGCAAGAGTGCCTATTATTGCTCTTGCAATGCATGAAATCTGCAGAAACCAAATCTCGTGGAGGTTTCATTTTTTGTTTTTATTTTAATTTTTTGTGGGTGCAGTGATTGGAGAATTCTAAGCTCTAAACATACTTTGTTACATTGGTCAGGGATCCTAAGATCAAGCTGTATGTTATTTCAGGGTTTGGCTTTTATCATTCTATATGTTGGCACGAAATATTATCGCGTTCCTGCAATTTCCATCGCCAGTTAAGCTAGTAAATCATCTTTACAATGCACCTAACCTCGTATAGAACAACAAATGTAAAAAAACAATTGGTTTTTCTTGTTTTATGTTGTTACTCTTATCTAGGAATTAAATATTATAGTCATATCATTTCCTTGCTTTTCCTTTCTGAAGTCTTAACTATCAAAATTCCCATCAGCAAAAGAATCTCACTGAAACAGATCAGCAAATTCAAATAGAGAGATTTATACAAACCGAAACCAGGGTTTTCTGTGGGCCCACACTTCAGTCTCAAAGACCTGCTCCATGCTGCATCCCCAGGCTCTTCACCATCAGGATATGCATCAATACTCCTTTCTCTTTCCTCATTTCCATCATCTTTCACATTTCCATCGTCTTTCTTGGGCTCCATAACCGTAGGAGTAGTTACCGGAATCGGAGAAGTTGTCTGAACACCATGCCCATTACCACTAATTTCACCATTCCCAATCCCACTGCTGGTCAAACCAATTCTCCTTTCATCATCTCTAACCCCTAAAGTAGGTTCATTTCCAATTCTTCCCCTCTGATTTTCAGTTCTCACTGTTCCATCCCTAAAACCCAAAACCCCGTCTCTCTCTTTCGCAGCCAATCCATTCCCAGCCCCCAGAGCCGGATCAATTTCAGTCCCACGATTCTTTGTCCGCCCCAGAACCGGATCAATCTCAATTTTGGGCGAGGAAGACCCATTTCTCTCATGGCCCTTCTCCAAATCAAGCTCATCCCCACCACTCTTCTGATTCTGATCCCTCTGACTCACACTACTCCCAGTTTCTCCAGAGAAATTGGATACAAACCCAGTCCTCTTAGCCCAAGATCTCAACTCTCTCGGATCGTGACCTTTTCTTGGTACAAATGGATCAAGTGTCGGTAGCACAGAACCCAGTGTTGGACCCTTTTTTGTATCACCCTTATCTTGATATTCTGAGCTTGACCCACGTTCCATTTCAGCTTTTCCTCAAATGTGTACCAATTTTCCCAGAAAAACAAAAAATAGCTCAGACAAAGAACAAGAACACACACACACACACACAGTAGGATTGGATGAAAAAAGTGCAAGTGTGAATTGAGTATAATCCTTTTTTCAGGTGTTAATGGCAACCGGTGGAGTGGGGTGTGAGAGGTGAGCTCGCAAGCTGCTTTCAGATGAAGCTTTCACGTATTTAAATTACCAAAATGCCCTTGTTAGTTGCCGTTGGAAAGGTGAGCTTCAACTGTGAGGACACGTCACTGTGTCAGTCAATATCAACATCAAGTTTTTCCTTAGAATTCAAGTTTCTTCTTCTTCCTCACCAATTCAACAAAAGACACTCACTCAGTGGTTGGAAGAAATCTGACTGAGTTGACTCGTTTAGACAATTATTATGCACATAATTTATCCACCAACTATCATAGACCTCACAATTCAACACAGAAATAGCAGGATTTAGGTATAACATTCGCCGCTTCTAAACAAATGAACCATTTCAGAATCTACAGTCCCGCTAAAACGCGGGTTAAAAAATAATTTATATAAGATACGAATTTAACGCGACACTAACTTTGTTATATATATGTGCATTATTATATTTTGCGTCTCTTTTTTATTATTTAATTTATCCTTTTTTTGGCGGTTTTTTTTTTTATCATTTGAGAAGTTATGAGCCCTTCCCTGTAGTTCTCAAATCCGTTGGAGAAATGGCGTAATTCGACATACAGCTAATAAAACAATTATAAACAAATTTTAGTTAATAAAAAATAATTTTTTTGAATAAATTTTAAANTTTTTTTTTTTTATCATTTGAGAAGTTATGAGCCCTTCCCTGTAGTTCTCAAATCCGTAGGAGAAATGGCGTAATTCGACATACAGCTAATAAAACAATTATAAACAAAATTTAGGTAATAAAAAATAATTTTTTTGAATAAATTTANACCGGAATCGGAGAAGTTGTCTGAACACCATGCCCATTACCACTAATTTCACCATTCCCAATCCCACTGCTGGTCAAACCAATTCTCCTTTCATCATCTCTAACTNATGAAAGAAAAACTTCTCAAACCTTCTCTCTTCTAATTTGTTTGTTTTATATATATAGATAGATATACGAATCATATATAAATTTAATAAATGACACAACCCATTGACAAGTCTTGTAGTATGAATCCTACATTTACATTCTAACCTTAACTGTAACTCAATTCAACACAATTTTGTCCTAATATTTTTAGGATGNAATCTGACTGAGTTGACTCGTTTAGACAATTATTATGCACATAATTTATCCACCAACTATCATAGACCTCACAATTCAACACAGAAATAGCAGGATTTAGGTATAACATTCGCTGCTTCTAAACAAATGAACCATTTCAGAATTTACAATCCCGCTAAAACGAGGGTTAAAAAATAATTTATATAAGATGCGAATTTAACGCGACACTAACTTTGTTATATAAATGTGCATAATTATATTTTGCGTCTCTTTTTTATTATTTAATTTATCTTTTTTTTGGCTTTTTTTTTTTTATCATTTGAGAAGTTATGAGCCCTTCCCTGTAGTTCTCAAATCCGTAGGAGAAATGGCGTAATTCGACATACAGCTAATAAAACAATTATAAACAAAATTTAGGTAATAAAAAATAATTTTTTTGAATAAATTTAAAAAAATAGAAGTTGGTTATTGGGGGAGTTGAGAGGTGGTTACAAATTGAAGTGAACTTTGGTTTTTAAATTCTAAAAAATTAAAAAATATGAAAGAAAAACTTCTCAAACCTTCTCTCTTCTAATTTGTTTGTTTTATATATATATAGATAGATATACGAATCATATATAAATTTAATAAATGACACAACCCATTGACAAGTCTTGTAGTATGGATCCTACATTTACATTCTAACCTTAATTGTAACTCAATTCAACACAATTTTGTCCTAATGTTTTTAGGATATGCTACAAATGTGACAGAGTGAGAAGTCGAACTCACTGAGTTGAACATTGATTAGCACTAATTTAAAAATATGTGGTGGAAAGCAAAATTAAAGAGGTTGAGAAACATTGATTAGAGAAAGAAATCTAAAAAGTGAGGTTTCTCACTTTTGGACTTTTTGGCTACAAGAATTGTTTTTCTAGGGAAAATGGCAGTAACGTCCCTAGTAAAATATCGCAAATACAAAGATACCCTCATGATTTTGTAAAAATACACTTGACACTCTTTGGCAAATCCAAAGATACTCATAGATTTACTTCTTATGTGTGGAGAGTGACTTTGTAAAAGGTTCACCATTAGTCAAGTACCTGAACATGATAGTACTACGATGATCTACTGAAATAGTTTAGATATCAAAAAATNTTACTTCTTATGTGTGGAGAGTGACTTTGTAAAAGGTTCACCATTAGTCAAGTACCTGAACATGATAGTACTACGATAATCTACTGAAATAGTTTAGATATCAAGAAAAAAAAGAGAAAAAAAATTGTTTAGTTCTCTAGATAAATGAACACTCAATTTTTGAAGTTTTTCCCTCATCTTTTAGTCATATTGAACTTGCTTAGAATGTCAGCAACATTTATTTCCTCGTTTCATCTCGATCGATGTTACTCTCAGGACCCTGGCAACCGACCTATCTAATATTTGAGGTCGTCACAAACCTCCAAAATGCTCCTCAGTCAAATTCATGTCTTGGGTCATGGCTACTGNTCGATCGATGTTACTCTCAGGACCCTGGCAACCGACCTATCTAATATTTGAGGTCGTTACAAACCTCCAAAATGCTCCTCAGTCAAATTCATGTCTTGGGTCATGGCTACTGAACCACTATTGGAATTAGGACAATGACGCAGAGTTTCGATCTCGATGAAAGTCTTCACAAAAAATCTCAATCTCTATAGTAGTACTATGACTAACCCTAAGACTTAAAGGGGCACATGTTGAGAAGAAGTGGGAACACCATCAAACCCTACTTTCCAAAAACAATAGAATCATTAGAACTCAACTGCAAAACACTGAGGGTATCAGACCTCAGTTGGAAAACATTAGGGGCATCAGACCTTACCCTCTTAAAAAGAGGGGACAGNGAAGTGGGAACACCATCAAACCCTACTTTCCAAAAACAATAGAATCATTAGAACTCAGCTGCAAAACACTGAGGGTATCAGACCTCAGTTGGAAAACATTAGGGGCATCAGACCTTACCCTCTTAGAAAGAAGGGACAANACACCATCAAACCCTACTTTCCAAAAACAATAGAATCATTAGAACTCAACTGCAAAACACTGAGGGTATCAGACCTCAGTTGGAAAACATTAGGGGCATCAGACCTTACCCTCTTAAAAAGAAGGGACAAAAAAATCATATTTATTTGTTTTCTCGATCATTTATTTTATTTATATTCTATGCTTTTGAATTATGGACATGATTTTTATTTTATTTTTTTGAGTTTTGGATATGATACTTTTAAATGAGTCAACAATTTTAGTTGTTTGACCTAAGCATAAAATTAAATACTTCATGACATCATTATTTTCTTCTAACAAATTATGACAGTCAACTGTTTGAATCGGATATATATAAATTATGACAATTTATAATAATATTTCCCAAAATCGATAGGATGTTTCTCCAATTAGACCTAACTATAAGGGGTGTCATTATAATTCAAATTATTTGTTTATGGACATTTGACAAAGCAGATAAGGTTGACACTTGTGAATCGTGATATGTAAGCAAAACAAAACAAAGAGTTTGTCCTTTGTTTTCCTAGCATGCCATGGTATGAGGCGTAACCAAACAAAATGTTGCTTACTAATGATTTGTTTTGCCTACCATGGTGTCTTGGACGATACCAATTGCGACAAACACACTCCATTCAAAGGGATATACATCTATTAGCTAACTATTGTTCATGCCTCATGGGAACAATGGATTATTAAAAGTCGATGTCAGGATTTGAATCATAGTTAAATTTGTAACATCAATAAGTGTTCATTTGTTTAAACGATATTTAATTTGTTCAACTTTAAGAATCAAACTCTTTAAAATTGGAATTAAAAGGGTACAAAACAATTGTTCATAATTTAGACAGTTAATAAGATGACGTATCCTAAAAGCATATGAAATAAAACGCATGCAAGAGGCATGTGGTCGACCGAACATATGACTAAGTGTTTGGCCTAATAGGCCAAGCTGTCAATATGATCAAGTCAATAACAAGACCGAGCAGATCTTGCAACCGGTCTTGCAAATAGAATCATTCACTAAATAAAACAGTTAGGCTATACCGATAAATTAAAGATTGGGTTGGGCTAATAAGAACATCACATAAATCATAGGTGAACATTCTCAATGTACCTTAATTAATGAATAAATGACAGAGTGAGAAAGAATTCTAGAATCAATCAATTGAAAACAATTCGGCTGAAAATTAGATGTGTCATCTAATGTAGCCAAAGTTGAAATCATGGCAGAATAATTGTCACGCAACACTATAAATATCAGGTGAAGTTTGAGTCTAAAGTACGCATTTTTGAATCCTATAAACTTCTTTGTTTTCTTTCAAGACTTTTACTAACTTAAGTATTGGAGCGCTTCTAACCAATCCATCATCGATCTCTGACATTTTGTTCATTTCCCTGGATGAATGATTTCAACCCTTGTTCACTCTTTTCCCAATTAAACCACAATCAAAAGGTAGGAGGTTTTTCCCTCTTACAATAATAAATCTATTTATCACTTATGCCTTTTGCATCGGTTATAACCTTTTCAAATCGTGTTGTCAATAGCTTGAAGACTTTATTTCCACCTAACCATTTATGATGCAATAAATTTAGAGCGCTTTCTTTCAATTTTGGTGGTCAAAATGAAAGTGAACAAGAGCCTAATTGATGGTCTAGAATTTGTTTTTCAAGTTTTGGGAGTTCATGGAAACAAAAATTTCCTAACTTAAAAAAGATGTTGAAGGTCATTAAAGAAGAAAGAAGCAAGGGAGAGAGAGAACTAGCCACTTGACATCTTATTTCTATGGGGGTATCTGAAAACACTTGGTTAACGGGTGGCGCATGGTAAGCTGTTTGGTAAGGCAGATTTTAAGTGCTTTTTTCTTTTTTGCCCTTTTTCCTAAATACTTTTTTAAGCAATGTTTATTTTCATATTCATACTTTTTCCTTGTCTGAGATTAATGTTCATTTCTAATTTTAATCGCGTGTATAAAGATATAGATATTCACCTATATAAATGTATGTATCATTTGTACACAAAAAATGCATCTAGATCATTGTTACAATAATTCAAAATGATTTACTTGTGAGGAAATTACTATTTTGCACAAAAAAAAATTACTTAAAAAAAAGTTACCAAATGGTACATTGCATGTCATTTTAATTACTATGAAGTCATTTTTGTGTGAAGTTCTAGCTGTGCAAGCTAATGTCTTTTTATGGAAAATCATTTAATCTCCATTGACTCATAATGAAATACGAGTCTTGGATGCACGCAATGCGCGTTTATAATATATTTTTTATCTTTCTGTCCTTTCTCACCTAGCATGTCCATTCTCTCTCTTTCCCACCAAGAGTCCAAACAAAGGTACAAAAATCAAGTAGTTAAAATAGAGAATATTTGTTAGAGTGTATACTGAAAAATTGAATAATTAGAACATAAACATGTATTAAATCATGTTTTTTATCTTTGATTAGCTAAATTTTAGTTACTTGGGAATTTTACATGTTAGAGATGCTCTTAGGGATATTCATAATCAATAGTTGATTCACCTCAAACTTCTAGTAAGACCCACGAATTTATGTGGGGTGAATTATATTTTATATTTTAAAAGATTTAAAAAAATTTATTTTGAAATTAACATTTTTATATTGCATCTTTAATGTGTTGAAAATATTATAATGTGACATTTCTATTAATTTTCGTTATTTCTATTAACTTCAATGGGCACGAGAGATTTGACGGAATAAACAATGAAAAAGAAAATAATAAAAATGTCACGTTACAATACTTTTAAAAAATTAAGAGTATAATGTAAAAAATTTCATCAACGACGGTACAAAGCGAAAAAAACTTAAATTGTTTAGGGGAGGAAATTGAGATTGTCCCATTTATGCGTCACTTTACTAACATCCGAATGGCGGGTAAAGAGATCAAAATTTCAAGCAACGAATGAGAGAGAGAGAGAGAGGCAGGCTTTCCGTCCTGCAGAGACAAAAATAGAGAAAGATCGCGAGCCAAGAAACGATTAATTTTGAAGATTCAATGCTCATACACACGTCTACTCGAAATCTATATAGGCCATATGATATGAATCTACTGCCCAGCCGTCTCGTCTCGGTCGCCATTGTTGTCTCTCAGCTCGTAGAAATAAAAGAATGGTGTCGCGGACAATTGATCTCCTAAGGAATAGCTTATGTACCTTCATTGCTGGAAATTTGGTAATTTAATTTTGAATATGCTTCAATTTTTAGCGCTTTCCTCTTGCTTTTCTTTGTTTATCGCCGATTCTTTTGTATGGTTTGTACTCCGTTTGGTTACCGCAAAACGAAGTATAAAATAATGTAAAAGAAGCATAATATTAGAAGTAAGCTGTCCTGATTATATGGATTTTTGTTGCTTCCAATGATAAATGAAATCCTAAGTGGAGTTAGTTTTTGTTCGCAGTGATCTTCAGTCACTATGGTCAAAAAATTTCGAAAATTTTGTTCTAGATTGTTCTAAATATATTGTTCTGGTATTTCAAAGAAAATAGAAAAGCAGGTAATATCATGTTACCAAAAAAACTTTTAGGGAAAAATAAAAGAGAATCAGAACAATAAATTCAGAATGGATTTATTTTTCCAATCTATGATTCTGTGGCAATATTAGAAACAAAATTAGGAAGAGAAGAGCAGGTTACTGTTGGTTATTCCTTAATTCTTACTTACAATGCTGTTTTGTGTGGCTGGAGGTAATGCATCATAATAGGCCTTTACATGGCTAAGGAGGAAGGGGAGCTATGGTGGTGTCGAAATTTTCGTTTGGTAACCAAACCAAAAGAACCACCATCTTAACCTTGAGACCGTGGTTTATAGATTCTTTTTGGGGAAAGTCTGCTTTGGATTCACTATTGCATATGTGGGATGTTGCTACCCTTGGTGTATAGATGCTTTTATTTTGTTTAGAATGCAACTTGAGCGGGTTGAGGGATCAGTCTTAGAGATTTTAGACCCTAACCTTATCTATAACCCTAACTCTACCTCAACCCGAATATTACCCAAGTTGATTTTGGTCAAGGTCGGGTTATCCAATTTGAGTTGACAATTCGGGCTCAACAAACAATAGTCTTAAATTAGGTGTGAGTCTTTCCACATTGTTGGTGTGAGTCTTTGCACATTGTTGGACTATTACATTGGCCTACATAGCCCACTAAGATGAAACACATCAAGATAACTTATTAAGGGTGTAAAGGTGAATTTTTTTTATATAGGAGAGAGGGGAGAAGTCATTTGAATTGCCTGTTCCATGTAGGATTACAACTCCTTATCTTTCTTTTACCTATTTTACTTATCCCACTTCAGTTGTGTAAACTTCTTTAATAATTTATAGTTTTTATAAATCATGTTTCACTCCATTTTTAAATAATAATAATTACAATTACAAATATATGTATTTATATTTTTTTTATATTATTTATATAAATATAATATATGAATTTGGGTTGAACTTGAGTTGGGCTCAATTTTATCAATTCGGGTTGGGTTTAGGTTAAACCCGTGAACTCGAACCTTATCTGANTGTCCTGATTATATGGATTTTTGTTGCTTCCAATGATAAATGAAATCCTAAGTGGAGTTAGTTTTTGTTCGCAGTGATCTTCAGTCACTATGGTCAAAAAATTTCGAAAATTTTGTTCTAGATTGTTCTAAATATATTGTTCTGGTATTTCAAAGAAAATAGAAAAGCAGGTAATATCATGTTACCAAAAAAACTTTTAGGGAAAAATAAAAGAGAATCAGAACAATAAATTCAGAATGGATTTATTTTTCCAATCTATGATTCTGTGGCAATATTAGAAACAAAATTAGGAAGAGAAGAGCAGGTTACTGTTGGTTATTCCTTAATTCTTACTTACAATGCTGTTTTGTGTGGCTGGAGGTAATGCATCATAATAGGCCTTTACATGGCTAAGGAGGAAGGGGAGCTATGGTGGTGTCGAAATTTTCGTTTGGTAACCAAACCAAAAGAACCACCATCTTAACCTTGAGACCGTGGTTTATAGATTCTTTTTGGGGAAAGTCTGCTTTGGATTCACTATTGCATATGTGGGATGTTGCTACCCTTGGTGTATAGATGCTTTTATTTTGTTTAGAATGCAACTTGAGCGGGTTGAGGGATCAGTCTTAGAGATTTTAGACCCTAACCTTATCTATAACCCTAACTCTACCTCAACCCGAATATTACCCAAGTTGATTTTGGTCAAGGTCGGGTTATCCAATTTGAGTTGACAATTCGGGCTCAACAAACAATAGTCTTAAATTAGGTGTGAGTCTTTCCACATTGTTGGTGTGAGTCTTTGCACATTGTTGGACTATTACATTGGCCTACATAGCCCACTAAGATGAAACACATCAAGATAACTTATTAAGGGTGTAAAGGTGAATTTTTTTTATATAGGAGAGAGGGGAGAAGTCATTTGAATTGCCTGTTCCATGTAGGATTACAACTCCTTATCTTTCTTTTACCTATTTTACTTATCCCACTTCAGTTGTGTAAACTTCTTTAATAATTTATAGTTTTTATAAATCATGTTTCACTCCATTTTTAAATAATAATAATTACAATTACAAATATATGTATTTATATTTTTTTTATATTATTTATATAAATATAATATATGAATTTGGGTTGAACTTGAGTTGGGCTCAATTTTATCAATTCGGGTTGGGTTTAGGTTAAACCCGTGAACTCGAACCTTATCTGAATTCAATTCAAGTTGAAGCTCTTTAACCCTAACACTAACCCTATTTTTTTTTTTTTGGGTTGAGTTCGGGTTGGCCTGCCCAAGCTCAAACAATTTTTTTGTTTATAAATTATATGGACTACTTTTTTTCTTTTGGTCATCTCTTATATATTAATCATCTGGGCTGTGCTTCAAACATATTTCTTCTTTTATTATTACTCGTGTTATTGAGCAGATATGTTGCCTTGCTGTATGACACCTTCACACAAAAAATCACTGACCCTGCTTCACCTTAATTGTTATTCAGGTAAGTAAAAGTTCTATCTTGGTGTGAGTGGGTGTAGCATTGTCTTTTGCATGTGCATGGAATTCTGGAAAATCCAAACATCTTAGAAATAGAGAGAGGTAGGAATTTATTCAACGAACCACACTCCATATACATCAGGAGTCCACTGATTAGAAGGGTGGGGGAAGCTTGAACCCACTTCCTATAGTAATAAAAATGAGAGCAATTGAAATTCCTCGGAAGTTATACATTTATGTATTGATAAAACTGTTCACTATTTCTTGAGATATTTCCCCCGGATGAACCATATAGAGAAACCATGAACCATCTTTATTGGGTATAAATTGGACTGATTTTCAGTGCAGGAAACGTAAGGAATCCAACAGGAAGAGAAAGAGCAACGCTTGAAAATTTTCAGTGAGAAAACGAGAAAGCAACTTGCTAAAACATTTCAGTAGCTTTGATACTTACAAACATACATAAAGAATGAAAACAAGAAGAATAAAAGATATTTACATGGGAACACCAGATCTCAGAACTGAAATTTTTCTACTAGGGTACAGACGGGAAAAAAATGATTGTTTCTGCTTCTTTGGTTTTTGTCCAAAGATAAATGAACTTAACGGAATTCGAGACCGAGTTGATGTGTGATTATGGTTACTTACTCTGGAAAGCCCAAACTCCTCATCCAACTTTGCTAGGGTCTTCTCAATTTCAATTTGGAGTGCAGTTACATGATCATAACCTGCTTGCAATTCCTCTCTAACCTTCTGGTTCTCTTGTTTCATGTTCAAAACCTCACCTTGGAACTTTGCAGCTTGATGACTGGTGAACTTGATTTCTTCCTCTTCCACGCCCTCCTTCAAAGCCATTGTTATATCTTCTTGAATGTTGCACAGAGACGAGAATCTACGCTGCAATTCATCTTTCAGCAGTGCACTTTGTTCTAACCACACTGTCAGTTCAGTCTGTATCTCCCTCAGGTGCTTGTATATTGGCCGGACATCTGATTTTATCTCTGTTCTATTGTGCTTATTTTTTTCGTTGAGTTTCATTATCTCATCCTGTAAATCTTGGACCCCAGTTTTGAATTTCTGTACCTGATGAAATGTTGTGCTAAATCTTAACCAGAAACCGAAATTTCCGTCTAGTATTGCATCGATGTTCATCCGGAGCTTTTCTTCAATCATTGAGATGGTTTGAGGTTGATCAATCAAAATCCGCTTGATTTGCTCTTCTTCTTGCTTTGAGAGATGAATGTCTTCATCTACATAGAGATCCTCGTTTCTTCCTTCAGGTTTAGCACTTCGGTCCTCTATCAAATCAGAGGCTTGCCCAAGGTTCAGCTTCTGACGCAAAGATTGAATCTCTTTGTCCCTCTTAGTAATAGCATTCTTTGATTCTCTTAGCTGCACTATCACTTCGAAGAGGCTGTCCCTATTTTTGTTCTCAACTTCACTCAGTTTCTTCTTGGAATCCTTATAGTTCCTCAGAATTGTGGTGTATTCTGTCAACAGAATCTTTTCTTTGTCCTCCAACCCACTCAAGAGCATCTGCTTCCAGTTGAACTCATCTTCTTCTTTCACTGCCTCTGCTAATCGTGCCTCCGTGTTGAGAGGACACTCTGCTGGTTGGAAAGAATCTTGCTTACCAACTATGTCCTGTGGCTTTGAGTCCTGACATTTCTCATATTTGTTATCAGCTTCTTTGTCTTCTCCTATTTGATGCTTAAGCGATGCACTGAGATCTGGTTGTTTTATATCTTCTCCTTCTTCGTTTTCCAAAGCATTGGAGTTTTTGAATCCACCTGCAGCGCTTGGAAACTCTTCGTTTGACTTGATTTCAACTAGTAAGCCCTTCTCTTCTTGAATTGAACCTGTAAACTCTAGCTCTTCATCTGGCTTCACTCTGTGCAATTTCCCAGACAGGTGATCAAGACTACAACGTGCTTCAGTGAAATGTGCTTGTAGGTGATTTTTTTGGTTTTCAACATTCTGATTTAGATCCTGAACACCATGCAATTTACCCTCCATTTCCTTCAGCCTGCTGCTCAAATTATGAGTGTCATCAACCAGACTCACCTTATCGTCCTCCAAACTCTGAATTTGAGCATGGAGTTCATTGCTTTCTGTTCGAAACTTGATTATGAGAGAAGTCTGAGATGAAACTGCTGTTTCTAGGCTGATCACCTTGTTCACAAGCTCGTCAATCTTCTCCGCCAGTTCTGTTACAGTGAGAGATCCGGTGGAGCTTGCCTCAAAATGTTCCTCAATGTTCTCCTGTACCACCTCCATTTCTTGGTTAGAACTTTGTGACTTCTCTCCTGCTTTGGCTGATTCATAACTGTCGTCTGGCTTCTCTTCATCGGTTTGATCATCAAGAAACTCATGCTTGAGGGTCTTCAGTCTCTCACGAGCATTCTCCATCCTTTCGCATTCTGCTCTTGCTTCCTCAGAAGATTTATGGTCCTCCTCCTGCAACTGAGACAATGCCTCTTGGCATGATTTTAGAGCTGCTTCTGCCATCAAAGTCCGAGCTTCATCATCCTCAATCACCTTTCCGACCCCAAATTCATCTTGCAAGCTGCAAACTTTCTGTTGCATTTCCATGATCTGAGTCTCGATTCCCCAGTACTTTGCAAGCTTGCTTTCGTAGGAGCTCTTGACGAACTCCTTCACAGTTTGCAAGGCCAAAATATCCTTCTGAAGCTTGTCAATCTCTTCAAGAGCCTCACTTTTGCTTAAACCAGACTTGGCAACGGTACCACTATTATCTGCTGTTTTTGATGGCTTCTTTGCTTGCATTCTCTTCTTGGCTGTTGTGAGCATACCCTTTAAATTTTTACCTGGAACCTTTGGTACATTTGGACCCGAGACTTGTGAAAAATTCTTTGGAACTCCAGAAGAAGCAAATTCATCTTCATCGTCTGTTTCATAGTGGATTTCTGGGAAAACAGAAGCAATGGTATTGTTGGCATTTTGCATTTCTGTTGATAAGCTGTCATACCGTTCTGCTAAGGCTCGGAAAGCACGATAAGAATCTTCCACAAAGTTTGTCAATTCCGGCCTCTTTTTATAGTACATTTCTGCCCTCTTGGCAAAGGAGTCTCCATCTTCTTCAATGAGCTTAAGCACATACTCCACCTTCTCCTCCATGTCTGCAATGCCATCAAAACTTGTTAGAGAGATCTAGGTTTATAAACCCTCCCTCTCCCTTTTCTTGGAAAGGAAAGGAAAGGAAGGCTTGTTTGCGTCAATAACAAATGGTGCACATGGAGAGAGAACAATATTATCAAAGCCAAAAGGTGATAGAATTTCAAGCCTGGAGCGATTCGGGTTTTTGACAGAAATCAGTCTAGACTGGACATTGCCTTCCATTTAAATATTAGATTGGTCTTACATATATGTGGTGTAGTGGTGGTGCGAGATCCGACGATCCGTTAGGTAGTTAGCCTTTTACAACAAAGCATATATACCTTGAAGGCTATGTTCGAGCCATTTGGATTGCTTGGTCCTGATGTGGCTTGCCCACCACCAAGAGTATGCATTGTTTGCAGCTCTGTGCAACATCTCTCCAATATGATCGTCTTCTTCTTCTTCTCTCTTTGTCTCTACGCATAACACATGAAACTCTTTCTCTCCCCTATAATAAACACTATGAGGAAGAGAGAGAGTTTCAAACAGGTAAAAACGAGATTTTCAAACAAGAAAGATACAGCTAAAGAATGAAGGTGGACAGGCAACACCACCTAATTTTAGTTTCGTGGTAGGGAGGTATTTTCTCCCAGAAATAAGTGCTGGATCCTCGCGAAGGCAGGGAAGTTAGCTAATCAGCAAGGGTGGGTTTGCCAGTTTGGCACTCCCCTAAAGAAAAGGGAGTAATGTTACATGGAATCAAGTTAGCATTTTAAGTAGACGCTACTCAGCCGAGTCTTTCAAGACATCACCGAGTCAACCCCGAATCATCGAGTCATGATTCTGTGATTGATGTGTTCTAATACTCAATGACCGATACAATAACTTTGAACCATAATTTTGCTACTCAACCATTCGAGCAAACCCCTTTTGATCAAAAAATCATAAATTGAAATGGTGCAACAGCACAAACTAGCATGGAAATAAGTGTAAATAACAATACCCAAGAAAATAATTTGAAATTTAGCTCATATGCCCTTAGTAGAAAGCATTTGCAGGGAAGGGCAAATCCTCCAAAGTATAATATGGTGTAAATCAAACAAACAAATATAATTATGGTGTCAGTGGAGTCATTTATGGTATGTTGCGTTCATGTCAATCGTGGTAATCGAGTCAATTCGTATTATGTACATGGTATTTTGGGTCATGTTATATCCGCGTCAATCAAAAATCAAAAATAATAGGAACTCTTTCTCGATTAAAATCCTAGGAAACTAAACAAAAAATAATTTTTAACGAAATAATTCTTATATGGCTAGATCAAGAAATTGAACCAAAAAAGTCAGGAAAGTAAACTATTGATGATGATAATGATAATTAAACAGGTTGCTCATATCCATCACTAAGTCAAATTCATATTGGACTTTTATTGTGATTAGTCTCTACTAGTACGAAGTTGTTCTCAAGTCAAGTTCTTGGATAATCGGGCCTAAATGGATGAATAATGGATGAATAAAGAAACACACTTAGCTAGACTTCAAGAGCTCTTGCTATGCTCTGTATATCCTCCTATTTCTTATTTGGGGGTCATAGAAACATATGAATTACCTACTCTTTTAGTCGGGTCATATTTATGTGAATTGGTAAAATTGATACCCCTAGATGCAATATTTATGTACCTATAAAATATTTGGAGAGAGAGAGAGAGAGAAACCCCAAAAAATAGCTGTCACAACATGAAGCGAAGGGCCAAACCTCCTTTCCCAAGCCCTTCCAAAGGGGCTCTTAAGCTTACGATGGTGGGGCTCTTAAATCCACCATCCTTTAGGAGTCCGCTTCTAAGGTGACGTTTGGTAACTAGTTTTTTTTTTTTTATTTGTTTTTATTTTATGGCTAAAAAAATAAAAATATGTTTGATGAATGTTTTTATTTTTTTTTTAACATCTACGTTTTAAAAATAAGGTTAAAACATGAAAACATCCAAAAGAATGTTTTTGAAAGCATCCAAAAAAAACATGGGTTGGGTGGTGAGTTTTGTTGGGGAGTTTCAGGGGTGGGTAGTGGGTTTCGGTGGTTGTGGGAATTGGATTGGGAGTGAGTTTCGGTGGTGGTGGGGGTGGTTGTGGTGGTAAGTTTCAATGGTGGGGGTGAGTTGGGGGTTTCGGTGGTGGGGTTGGGTGGTGATTTTGGATGGTCAGTGGGGTTGGGTGGTGGGGTTTGAGTGGTGAGTTTTTAGTATATTATTAAACAAGTTTTTTATTTTTGTTTTCACAAATTTTTAAATATAAATGACTATCAAATATATTTTATATTTTTAATTTTTATCACAAAAACAAAAATATTACCAAACACTCGAAAAAAGTGTATGAAGAGGAAACAGCAAAGCCCCTCTATTAACCACTTTCTGCTCAAATTGGCAAGGGTCCACGTCCACCGCATGCCAGCACTGCCTCTTCATAACGATCCCATGACTGCACAAACTAGAGAACCTGACAACCATAACGATTAATTTTTGGCTCTTTGGCCCTGGTGTGAGGTAGTAGGACAAGCCAAGGGACCACAAATGAAGGGTAAAAAAAAAAAAAAAATCCCATGCCCTAAGAATTTTTATTTCTCAAACAGTTTCAAATATATTTTTTAAACTTTTTCATTCCAACTAACATTTTCATAATAAAAATATCATTTGAGTTGGCTTAATATTGTCTATTCAAATGATCTTTTTTATGGTGTACAAACAGTAAGATCCATTTTGTGTGGTGAGCATGTATAATTTGAAGATGTCATTTAGAATGATATTTTTTAAAAGTCTATGAATTTTAATAAGCATATAATTTGCTAACTAAATGTCTTTTCATTGGGAGAACAAACGATAATATTACCCAGAAAGGTGAAATCATAATTTAGAAATGAATGGCCATAAATTCACATGGCACCCCTTTCAAGGGTTCTTTAGGAACTGATTCACTCAACATAGATTAATTGAACCCAGAAAACTTTCTACTGATAATAATCTAAAAAAGAGAAGAGAAAGGTTATTTATGCTAATAGCAATGGAAAGCATTAATACGTTTCACAAATATTCACAGAAGCAGTATTTACAATAACAAATCAGCATTATATGTCAAATTCCTCCCACCACCCCCGGGCAACAGTCACATAAGCCCCTGGTAACCCATAGCACACATCACAAATGCCTCCTTTTTCATTATGAAAAACAAAATGATTAATCTGTGTCTCAACCGGAAGGCATAATCAATCCTCAACCTTGGCGAATAATGTCTATATTCTGCAGCACGACTCAAGATGTGAAGCGGAAGTTGACACCGGTCAAACTTATTATTCTTCATTTCTTCTAGTTTCTTCATCTTTAGAATACTACTTACTTATGGCGTAACGCAGTTCTTCAAATGGGTTGCCACAGAATGAAGAAGTAATCAAAACAAGGATCATCCACATAGCAAGCTTTAGAAATTTTGAAGAGAAGAAAGCCACTGCGCCATGTAATTCTTGCCCTCTGCACATTTCAAGAGAATGCATGAAACATCCGGCCAGGTAGAGAAACAGGCATTTTCCTTCAGCAACATCACAAACATTTACTGTATATTTACAGCACAATTTGATTAAAATTTAGGTAATATACATCGAAAAAGGTCATAGTCACATAAATAAATTGCAAGATTATGAAATTTCTAGCAAAATTGGTAAGTAACTACTATCTTCTCAGATACAAAGGGATAGTAAGATCCAAACTTTTATGATTGAGCCTATCAAACAAGTAACAACAGTGACCTAATCAGTAACCCATAGACTAAAGAAGAGATAATTTAAATGCCAGTAGGTGCAAAGTGCCCATGCATTTATTGAACAGGAGAACAGAGTAATGTTGTGCCCCCCAACCCCCCACACATACACCCCAACCCAAACCCAAACTAAAAAAACAAACTAACAAACCCACCAATAAATCCATGTGTGTTATAAAGTGTTCAAGAAAAAACAAACCACAAATTGGCTGGAAGAGAATCTACAATCATAAGAAACATGGCAGATGAAACACTAACAACAGTAACCAGTCCCAAGTTTGTATTTCTTACGTCTCACATCATCCAAAACACATATGATTTGAGAAGCCTTTGCAAGCGAAAGCTAAAAAACAAGGAATCAGATACATGAAACGAGAATATCATTCATATTGGCATGATATGATGGCACAGTTGATTGAGCTCTTGGGTTTGAGATCAATTGAAAGTATATATGCAATTCCCTCCCACATAAAGTGAAACACTAATACTATTGAGACATAATTTAGGGACTTAATGCATTGTAATTGTTGGATTGGTTGGATTGATAGTGGAGTGCATTCAATACTGGGACCATCGATAATCCAATGGCCACAATCATTCAGTCTCCAAATTATGTCCTAATTGCATTGCTCAAAGTGAAAGCAGGAACCCAAAAACTCAGTTGCAGTTGTAGTTAACTGTAACCAGAGCAGAGACCTATGCTAAGACAAAGAAAATCATTTAATTGGAACATGAACCTACAATGTATTAACAATCCTTTCCGGAACCAAGACAATCGTACCTCGGTCATTTTTCCACGGTTTGTAAGCATTCAAGTAGAATGATTACTAAATCTCAAAGGATCCCAAATAAGTGAACTTATGATGCAGCTTCACATGTATACCAATGTCAAAGACCATATTCAAAGTTTAAAGCTAAGGCGATTACCATTATTTCACTCAATCACAAAAAAAATGAATTAGGCCGTGCTTTCAAGAAAGAATATACTATGTGTAAATTGTAATCCTGTAAAATACTGAGGATATTTGCAAACAAATTTGGAATGATAAAAAAAAATGCAGAAAATAACAGCCCTTACCATCAGAGTACTCAGCTAAGGGGTTCTTGATGGCACTGAAGAAATGATTGCTAGGGGACTCCTCCAAATCCTTGCAATCATGCCTATAGCAAGGAACCAACACTGCAAAACTGTTGTCTGCCTCATCATCACTCTGGAAATCAGGGGCATGTGGTTCCAGCCACCCAATTGACCAGTCTGACTCATTGGTATCAGATCCTGACAAACAAACACCATCAGAAGGCACCAAAACAGCATCATACTGCTTATCCATTCTCCTCTGTTCCCTACTCTGCCACTTCCTCTTGACTTTCCTAGGGGAAGAGGCCACTTTAGTCCCTTTAACAGAAGGAAATTTCACAGTATCCTCGTCCCTCATTCCTAGACCCCAATCAGTAGATGAATTTAAAGAAGACCCACTAGAGACAGGTTCTTTTTCTCTCCCAGCCCACCACCACCATGAGAAATGAGTGAAAGAAACAGCCATGTTTCAATCACAAAGTAGATGAATTAGAGCTGAAACCCTAGAAGGGTCAAAATTGGGAGAATTGAGATTGGCTACAAGAATCACTAAACTAGGAAATGATCAATCAGTTGAGGCAATAAATCAAATTTAATGAAGATGTCAGTTAATCAAATCTAGCCCTTCAACATCAAACTGTAACTATGAAGATCCTAAGCTTTATCTTTATAAAGGCAAAATCACCATCAAATGATTCACTAAAAGTCTATTGAAACTTTCTCCAAAGCACCACTAATCATCCAGTAAAGAGTCCTCCTTTAAACCCATGAACCTTCACTCACTTCACAAACACGCCATCTTGTCGACATACCATTGACATAATTAGAGATCCATAATTTCTAAATGAATAAGGAATTAAGCAATACTTAGTTGATGTCCAAATCAATAATTAAACAGCATCATAAAAAAATGCACAATCAAGATCATCAATTAAACGACCATTTTCTGTAATATCACCGGACAAATCGGAATTTTTCATCGGAGAAACAAAGTTCGGCGAAATCAAAACGGTGATACCATCGGAAAAACGGAAGCATATCCGGGAAGTGAACGTTTCCCCAAATCAAACGGAGATATCACCGGGAAAATCAGAAACTTTTTGCCGGAAACTGAGTTTTTTTTTTAAGAAATCAAATGGCGATAGGACCGGAAAAATCGAAACGTTCCGCCGAAAAAAGAGAAAAGAAGAGTGAAATAGCAGAGACCAAAATTCGAAACCATCCTCGGGACTACTATCTCTCCAACATCCCCATTTTTCTCACCCAGATGTTACCCCACTCTCTCTCTCTCTCCACCACACTCTCAGAAACGAACTAATTACTTCTGTGGCCTCGTTGATTTTATAGGCGCCGAGCACTGATATAATTTTGTGGTCGTGTTTAAATTACACTTGAGACTACTGACTTCGCTGAATTACAAAACAGCTGCTTATAATTTTAAGTAATTTATCTAAAGCCCCATAGTGTTGGTCTTGGTGGCTAAAATTTGCTACCTCCCATACAAACGGATGCTAGTGATCATTTAAAATTAATTTTTAAAAACTTTAATCAAGCCAAGTGGAGAATAAGCCATTGATATTCCATGAATTTTTTTATTTGTTGGCTAAAGATTGAACAACGATCCATGATATAATGTTTGCAAGCTAGCCAATATTGAGTTTCAATTCATAAATGAAATAAGTGTAGATAGCTAAAGATTTCTCGACCATGTTGGAAGTGGGGTCTAAAAATGAATAATATGAGACTTATGTCACGACTTAAGAGAGAGAATTGGGAAGTCAACTTATTGCACTCTTCTTCGGTCGATCATGTCGATAAAGGTTTTTTGTTCGTTATTTTACTTTCATTTTTGTCTTTTTTATTTTTTTTAATTATGCTCTGTCATTAGGGCAACAGATTCTTTAAGTTGGTGGGGAGGATTGAATTGAAAAGCAATAGGGGATACGGTAGAGGGCTGCGAGAGGAGATAGGATACAGGGAAGAGCAGTTTTGGAATGCTGGGAGAAGAGATAAGGGACAGGGTAGAGCAATAGAGCAAAAGATTTGAATTCCTCATAAACAACAGATAGGAGGTATGTATGAATGGTTCTTGAAATTTTAGGGTTTCATATAATATTATAAACTTTTCAGGGTGTCATATAATGTTATAAAATTTTCAGGGTGTTAGTGTAATTTAATCATTATCATATTTGTATAGTTTCGGGTGGCTGGAAAACCAATCAATGCATGTGTTGTGTGAGACAATATGTAACGCGTCTTAAAATCAATTCTGCTTCTTAAAATCGATTTTTTCAAATATACATTCAACGACGACAAAGACGAATTATAAATTTAAATATCTTGAATTCGAATTTTAACAATCTCATATAATAAATGAAGAAAGTATTTGACATCATTCAACTCTAATCTCTTCTTACAAATCAAATTAATCATTAAATTTAGGTTGATAAGCCCCTCTGTAAAAACGTGAAAAATACTTCTTATATTAAGCGTCAAAGGGAATTTGTGCAGAAGGCAAGAAGAAGAACCTTCCTTCCTTTCTTCTACCAACCAAAGTAACACGGAATTCATTCAACAAGAGGGAGGCCTCAATTTTGGTTTTTTTTTGAATTTTAATTATTCATCTTCTGAGAATTATAAATAACAAAGATGATTTCAATAGTTTAATCACAATCCGTCGTTGACCTAAGTAGATTATGATGAATTTAAGAACATCTCCAACAGAGCATGTAAAATTTTAAAATAATTAAATAAAGGTAAAAATCATACTCCAATAGAATATATTCAGATATTATATAAAATCATATTTGTGGAAAGCTTAGATTACAAAGATATTTTTGGCTTCGTTCCTTGATTATGAGATAGTGGAGATTAATGGTCCAATTACATTTTCCTACACAGCTGTAGCCGCATTTGCTTTGTCTTTTCTATGCTATCTCAACTTTAGCTCATTATTTTATTAATTATATGCACCCTTTTTTTTTTTTTGACACCATGGATTTTAAAACCTTTTTTTCGAGGACAAAGTTACTTAGATTTAATTTGTTAATATAATTAATCATTGTTTTTGATTTAATTGTATGTTTCTTTATTTTTTGAGTTTTATTATTAATTTAATAATTTTGATTGATTAAATTAATTTTTTATGTCCTAATAATTTTTTTTTTCTCCAATCACCCCGACATGGTTGAAAATCCCCATATAGCGTATGCTATAAGATTGGGGCAAGACACTTCTTTTGACCAAAAAAAAAAAAAACTGTTTGATGCAAAAGTAGCTTTTGTAAGAGGAAGAAACAAATTGACGAAGTACTAAAACATTAAGCAATCGCTGTCTAAATATAAATACTATTTGTCAAGACTTTCACATTTAAGAAGGGAATCAACGGTTGGAATTGAATGCTTTTTTTTTTTTTTGTGGGCAGGTTCGAGAGTGAAACTTGAATATCAGCTGTATTCAGCGGAAACTATAAGAATAGACAATGAAGTCTACTCATAGAGTTGGAGGTCTTGAGTTAAAGTCTTCTTTTTGGGTGATGCTAAATAGTTTATCCTCGTAATTACTTTATATATGTAAGATGAATGTAGAATAATAATTCTTAATACGAGCACGTTAAATTAACATGAAATCGACGTAACACTATTGACTCTAAGTTTGGGGCAAGGCTCTTCTTTTAAGGAAAAAAAAACAATACTTTGTTTGATGCAAAATTGTTCTAACTTTTGTAAGAACTAAAAACAGTTAACCAAGTACTAAAACAGTAAAAGCAATAGTTGTCTAAAAAAACATATTTGTAAACAAATAAACGGTTAAAATTGAATGGTCGTGGTAGCGGATGACATTAGGGCCCTTGATAAGGACTGTATTATGATTAAAAAGGTACTAGTAAGAGTCCACTAGCATTTCAAGCATGAAAATAAGTAAAAGCAAAATCAAGAGTCTTCTTTTTTCCAGACATTAGAAGGAATAAGGCCTCTTGTCTAAGTAGGAAAGTAGGTCTTACCCTTACCACTGATCTTGGAAAGTATTTGGGGATCCCAATTCTTCACAAGAGGAAATCCAGGGAGCATTTTAAAGATTTAGTTGAAAAAATCCAGGATAGAATAACTGACTGGAAAACCCAGAATCTTTCATGGCAAGAAGAGTCACTTTAGTCCAAGCTGTTATAGCTACTATTCCAAACTATGTTATGCAAACTCAATGGATTCCTCAATCAATTTGTGATCAGATTGATAGATTGAATAGAAATTTTTTGTGGGGTGATTCTAATCAAAGGGAAAAAAAATCACCTGATTAATTGGAATGTTGTGTGTTCCCCTAAGTCTCATGGAGTCTAGGACTTGGAAAGAGTAGAGACACCAACTCTGCCCTTCCTAGTAAACTTGGATGGGAATTAAAGAGCAAATCTAGTAAAACTCTGTGAGTGGATGCTATGAAAAGTAAATACATTTCTGGTGACTCTTACATTCGGAGGAAAACAGCTTATGGCTCCCCTACTTGGAATGCTATGTCAAAGATTAGTAATCATCTAGAAATAGGTACCAAATGGACTGTGGGTGATGGCTCAAGAATTAGCTTTTGGAATGACTGGTGGGTGGGGGAGAGACCCCTATCTCAGATTGTGAGTGTTCCCCCAAATGTTGACCCACATACTAAAGTGACAGACAGGGTTCATTGATTTTGATGGTTCTTACTTCTTAGAGTCTTCATAGGTCTGGTATGAATTTTCCCCTTCATTTTCAGTTGGAAATTCTACATACCCCCCTTCCCACAATAAACTCAGCAAGAGTATCTCCCCTACTGGGGTTATGCAGATAATGGTAAGTTTTCTTCCTCAACTTTCTATAATCTGTTTCTGAATAAGAGTTCATTTTTTGTTTCTGAGGGAAAGTGAGAATGGATTTGAAAACTGGATGTTCCACACAAGATAAAAATACTTTCTATGGTTTGTTAAGCATGATAAAATTTCATCCGACAAACTCAAAGTTGTCAGACACGTGATAAATGACCCCACCTGCACTAGATGCAATTCCCATACAAAGACAACCTCTCAAATCCTGAGAGACTTTAGTTAGTCCCAGAGTATCTAGTCCTTCTTTCTTACCCCACAAGAGCGGCAATATGACTTTGCATTGAGAAATATTGCATTTCCTATGGTTATTCTAAATTATTTATGACTATCATTTAGAAAATTTGGAAAGATAGAAATGGAGAGAGCATAGGGAATACCAAAATTGATACACAAATCACAGCCAAGATGGATCTCTCCCTTGCAAGAGGAACTTTTTGAATAGCTGAAAGGGAAAAAGATTAACAAAACACTCAGAGTAATTAAGTGAGACAGCTAGCCCTCCAACTAAAATCCTCGTGGATAATTGCAGATTTATCATTAGGACGCAAAATGTGGTTATGGCTCACACGCTGGGAGAAGAAAACAACTGTGCAGATCATCTTGCTAATCTCGGT